ACCTCAAGACACACACGGCTGGAACGCCTGGCATTCGGGCTGCCCGGACAGGACACAGCCACCAGCTACATCAGCACATGCCAGATGAAGAGCTATTGCTCATACTCATCTCGTGACTCCTCGGAGCAAAACCCCGTGGCCTCGTAGGCAGGATGAATGGCTGCAAGCCTCCAAATATGGGAAGCTTCTAGATAAGGCTTCAGCGGGGGGGGGGGTCGGACAAGCACATTTGCCTATTGCAACCATGATGCTCAACTGTTAGTACTGAGGAAAGAGGATGGCATTAAGGAAAGCGTGTTTCCTACGGCACTTAGTGACATTGCTTAAATGTAAAAGCTGAAGGGCTGCAAACAGAGATCGGCAAGGATACAGGGGTTCTCTTGCTGTTCGCTTCCCATCGCCGATGAAGCGTAGTTTGGACAGGAGTGGTAGTGGGTCCAGCAGACCCTCAGGTGTGCTTCGCAGGACCAGAGAAGCTGCTACACACACTGCATGTGCAAGCAACAAGGCAGTTACAAGTCTCCCCCAGTCCTACCAACAAGCCCAGCAGCATCAATAGGGTACTCTTCTGCATAGCTCCTTCCCACCCCTGTGGTTCCTGCACTGGTGTTACCACTGGGGATCACAGGACCACCGGGAAGCTTGCTCCGAGGGCTCAGGAGGACATGCCACCTAACCCATGAGCCGTGTTTGTGGAGGACAGAACATGCCAGACAACATCTCCAGCATACCAGGCACTCTGCTGGCCATTAAAGCTTGCCAGCTTGGCACTGCACTCCGAAATGAGATGGGTTTGAGGAGGTCTCTGGTCAGACCGTGCATGCTGACTAAGTCATGAAAGGTCTCATCAAGTTGCCAGCCCACTGGATGCTTTAAAAACGATTCCAGACCACAAGCACGAGGCCACGTGCCTACTGACACGAGGCCTCTCAAGCATTGCGAGAAAGTGCAACGTGCTCTTGGTAGAAGGAAGATCAAAAGGAAGGCATTGCTATTTTTAACTGCTCCATGTGCCCCTTCCTCTCCACCTCGGGCAGGCCCAGGGGTACATCAGATACAGCGAACGAGCCCCATAGAAACAGGCCTCTTGTTTAGCTTGGCTGGACTCCAAGCAGTGAAAGCTAAACTGGAGGCAAAGCCACGGGCAGATGCTGGAAAGAACAGGTGCAGGGGACAGTCCTTTCTATGGGCAGCACTTTTACTGGGACCTCATATCAGATGCAGATGAAAGAGGCAGTTACCATCTCCAGCAAGGTCACAAAGGACATGCAGAGTAAAAAAAAGCAGTGGGTTCTTTGTGGGGGGGCAGGGGAAGCCCTTCAGCTAGAGGATTTCCAGCTAAAAGCTCACATTTCTCCCATGTCTTTCAAGCACTGAAAAATCCACCCAAGCCAACCATTTGCACGGTGTTTCCTTTAACCTGCTAAAGGAAACAGCCAGCTCCGAGCTGTCCAAGCCCAGTTATGGGGAAGGAGCGGGCAGCCAGCAGAGAGGGCGGATGACCGGGGATTTTTAGTCAGTCTGACAGGAGGCAGCTTCTGATGAGCCAGAGGCAAACCTCTGCCCAAAGGCATTTCAGCACCAGAGTTTATGCCAATAGCCTCAGCTTGGCGTGCGGCCCACGAAGAGGATCACAACCGAACGAAGGAGCAGCACAGGTCCTTACATCTCGGGGTTTCGGAAGTGGAAGTAATCTGAAGAATGAACCAATGCTCGCCCAGCTCAGGACAGGCTGAAGATTAGACATGTCTATAACTGCTCGTGTGGGAGCGGGACAGGACAGACAAGGATGTGTGGAGCCTAGTCGTTTTGTGCGTGTAACTAGGTGAGGCACCGGCAGTCTTCGCCAGCCCTTGGTTATTCAGTGGCCCCCATCTGCTATGTGCATTACGATAACACTGTAAGGCCAGGGCTCGTTGTGCTGGCCAGGATGCAGTCCCTGCTCTAGACAGCTTGCGTTTGAAGTGTTAGATGCCAGGCAGGCCCGATGACAGCTGGCACTAGACTCTTGCTCTCTGCTAGTTCCCATTGCCTAGTAAGAAGTAGGCCAGGGACACCATGCCAGCAAGAAGGATCATGCCAGGTCAAAGGGTTGGGAGGCAGCATTGATACAGCGCATCTCCAGAGCCAGCAGACAGACCCATGCTTCCACCTGCACAAATGTTTCCTTAAGTTAACTATGAGCTGCTCCATGCTACGCAGAGACGGCTCCTACCCGATGCACAGCCGTTTTTCTTTGCATGGCGTTCTGGCACGTTAGTGACCGCGTCCCACACCCACCCTCCCTCCCAAATGTAATGCCTCATCAGGCCAGCGAGGTTACTGGAGCTGGTCTCTTGATGCTTATCCCCATGAGACTGGGGGCGGGGGGCGCTTGTTTGCGAAGCTGCTTTCCATGGATCACATCTCGCATCACAGGGCGTCAGGGCAGGCAGATTTCCCCTCCCCGGAAGGATTCGCTGACCGTCAGGCCTCCTCAGTATTTCGAGGCTGTGGGTGATGGTATGTGATCTCAGGCCACATGCGCTTACCCAAAAACCACCACAGGGAAGTTTCTGGCCTAGCTTTAGACAAGATGCAGTATTGCTTCCACAACAGAGACCAAATCCTAGACACTAGTGCTTACAGACTCTGTTTTTAAGTGATGCTTGCAGCAAACCTATAATAGGTTTCAAAAAGCCAGTTTGCTGCACTACTCTTTCACTTGAGCAGACCCTGAAAGTCAGGAGCAATTAGACAAATTAGGAGTTTGGAAGCTGCAACATCTGAAGTCAGCTGAAATGCTACGGAGGCAGAGCCTGAAGGGCAATGTTTGTTCTCGACTGCTGGCATACCTCCGAGTATGTGCAAACCCCTTTCCAGGAGGAAGTGTGACTTTGATTGTCAAGTGTGTGCGACTGGAAGCTGTGATCTCGGCCCACAAAAGAAACATGCTAACCACTCAACAGTGCCCCAAAAGCTGCCAGCACAATGCTAGTGCTGGGCAAAGAGTTCAGGACGCCGCTGACCTCCCAAGCCCACGCACGGCACGGCTCACAAAGCAGAGCGAGACAGAGGCAGAGCGAGCCAGCCTCAAAAACGCCTGCCTTGTGCCCAGAGACTTCAGGGCAGGTTCGGGCCCCCTTGTCTCTGGGGGATTTTTCCAGTTCTGCCAGATTACGCCCGATTCACAGGCGAGTAAACCAGGTCCAGATCAGGCCCTGGCCAGAGGCAGGGAGGCTTGGAGTCCCGGCAGCCAGGACAATAGTTTCCCTTCAGCCTGGCCAATGGGAGCCGACGTTTTGCATTTCAAATGAGTCCCAGCCACAAAGGCTGTGGCACTGGCAGGCAATTCATGTCAGATCTATTCTAGCAAGCAGAGTAAACACGGCTGCAAAGGCTGGCCTGGCCGCTGCTTGCGCTTTCCAAAAAAAGAGGGGGGAAGTTTTGCCAGGGAACTCAGTCATCCCCTGGGATTTCCCCTGGCCACTGCCACCACCTCCCATCGGCCCCGGTAACAAGGCCCTGGGGCAGTCATCCTAGCAGCCCCTAGGAGAGGGGATCTCAGCGTGCGGCCCGAGCCCCCGGCTCCGACGAAGCAGCTGCCGAGGTGTTGCTCACCCAGCACCAGCAGCGTGGCACAGCTGTGCCAGCGCCACGCCTTGGTGCAATCCAGGGTGTGGCTCAGCTTTCCCCCCACCCCGGGAAAGGTTTCTCACCCTCTCCGGCACCCCAAAGAAAGCCTCCACAGGAGGCTGGGGCTGGCTGGGGAGCTCCTGCCCCCCGGGGCAGCCTGCCGCCACTTGCACTCAGGCCCTCGCGGGGGTGGGTGCAGGGCCAAGCTGGGGGGAAGGGGCAATGCGAAGGGGTCCGGGCACACAGACCCCCCCACTCTGCCAGGCAAAGCCAGGAGTGCCTGGGGCTGGGATGGGGGCAGGGAGCAGGACCAGGGATGGAGAGGGGCAGGGATCGGGGTCTGCCAGGCAAAGATCAGGACCAGGGATGGGGAGGAGAGGCATCAAGAGAGCAAAAACCCCCCAAAACAAAGAGAAACAAAGCAACCCGGGGCCGGGGGGGAGGCTCCCAGCCCGGTAGGCACCGGGGTTGGGGGCCCAGACGAGGGCCAGGGATGGGCAAGGACGGGGGCCGGCTCAGGACCAGGCGCAGGGAGGAAGGGGCATCCAGGGGCCGGATCACCTACCAGCCTGCCGGAGCGCTCGCGCGCCGCCTTGACCTTGCCGTACGTGCCCCGTCCCAGCGCCTGCAGGAACTCGTAGCGGTGCCGCAGGTTGTGCTTGTGGTGGTGCCGCTTCACCGCCTGCTTCTTCATCACGGGCCGCGGCGACTGCAGCAGCCCGGCGGGCAGGGGCAGGGGCAGGGGCAGGGGCA